TTAGTTGTGGGAATTTTGATGTGTCATCGATGGAAAGTCAGGGTGGACTGAGAAATATGTCAGGTGTGGGTAAAGGGTTATCGATTTGTAGTTTATGGGAGGGAAATTGATCCAGAATGAACTCCACATGTGTTGAATGATATAGGCACTTGGTTTGAAGATCATAGCATTCAAAGGCAGATTGTGGAAGAATAGCCAAGAAATAGAAACCGGGCAAACTTGGGTTGAAGTTTGGAGGTGGTGTAGGGTCGCAACCAAGGGTAACATAGGCATCCTAATGGTTTGGTGTAGTTTGGTTGTTGAAGTAATTGACATTTATAAGGAGATTTGTTGTTGAATGTGGGAGTGGGAAGGCGGTTAATTAGGTATACGGCAATTTAAAATGCATGCGACCAGTATGTGAGAGGTAGATTAGCATAGTGGAGTAGAGCTAGGCCGGTTTTAACAATATGTCTGTGCCTGCGTTCAACAATACCATTTTGTTCCAAAGTATGTGGTGGTGTGGTGTAATGAGATATGCCATGTGATTGAAGGAAGGGAAGGAGGCCTAGATATTCACCACCATTGTAACTAAACAGAGAGACAATAGGCTACTGAAAATATTTTTCGACCAGTAGTTTAAATTGGGGAAGTAGTTGGGCTACGTCACTTTTGTGTTTCATGAGATATATCCAAATGTATTTTGTGCAATAATCAACAAAAATGACATAATAAGTGAAGCCATCAATAGGTTTTTGAACTGGACCCATACATTGGAATATATAGGTTGAAGTGGATGAGTGGTAGTAAAACAGTTTGGACCAAAAAGACAATTTATGACTTTTATTAATGGAACACGAAGGACAATGAACATTGCAAAAAAATTCCCAAATTAATCCTAATTTTGAAACAATAGACTAGAAAACATTAACATACGGATGACCAAGTTTGTGGTGAAGGCTAAAAGGATTGCGCTTGAGAGTTGCATCAATTTGAAATCTGGTAGACGGATGAGTGTGGTATACCCCTTCAGTTTTCTCCTCACAACAAACGCACCCTCGTGCATAGATTCTTCACAAAAAAAATGAGATGGAGAAAATTCCACCAAAACACGGTTAGTGTCACATAGATGGCCAACATAAACAAGATTAAATGCGGAACATGTAAAACGTTTGAGAAGAACAGTTTCTTGTGAGGAGTGTTGATATATGTGTTACCAATGTTAGAGATGGGTAAACCTATGCCATCTGTAAGAACCACTTCATCTGGTCCACCATATTCTGATACGTTGTGAAGAGTGTGTCGATCAGATGTAACGTGATTAGATGCCCCTGTGTCAAATAGCCATGATGGTGATGCAAGAGAAGAGGTGGTGATGTTTGCTACAGGAGTGGGATGTTTGTCAGCATAAACATTGTTCCCCCTTAGGAAACGAGCTAGCTTGCAATAATCACGGGTAAGATGACCAGGGATGTTGCAAAATTGGCAGAATTCATTGGTTCGGTTGGTGTGAGGCTGGTTATTATTTGACCACTGGTTATTATTTAACCACTGAGATTGGGGTTGGTGTGCGCCTCTCTGTGACCCAGAATGATAAGACCTATTTTTGTTCCTAGAAAATGAGTTTGGGTTACGATTTGTGGATCCCTATTGTCGTGATGTGTAGTTAACAGTGGTGGGAATGGATTCCAGTGTGGGTGATGCTTATTTGTTGGCTCTTTCATAATTTGTGAGTTTATCAAAGAGTTCGGAATAAGAGATGGGGTTGTCTCGCTCTTTAATGGCAGCTGCAATGGTCTTGTAGTCTTCTCCTAGTTGCGAGAGTATATGAACCATGAGGTCCTCTTCCGAGACCAGGCTTTGGGCCAGGGCTAGAGCACTGACAATTGATCGCATCTCATGAAGAATTTTTGTGATAGATCGAGTACCTTTTGGGTTTTGCGCATGTTTGGACTTCAAGGAGATTATGTGTGACCTGGAGGAGGAGGAGGCAAAGCTCAAGTGGAGTCTTTCCCATGCTTCAAGTGCTATGGAAGCAGATGAGACAAGAGGTTGAGTAGATTTAGAACAACTGTCAAGGATGGAACTGAAGATCATTTGATCTTTGCGATACCATGGACTATGTTCGGGATTAGCGATGGGCTTGCCTTCTTTGTCATTCATTGTTTTAGTGGGTTGATTGGATTCATCGAGAAATGAGTGGGGATTCGATCTCCTTTCGCCAAACTGGGTAATTGTGAGAGATGAGTTTCGTAGTCAGATGAGTGGCGGTTATGATTTGCATTTGTCTGTTGGCCATTAAAGAACCCTAATTGTAAGAAGATAGGCTGCTGGATCGAAAAACTCGTGAGAGTAATGATAGCTCTGATACCATATGGTGAAAAGAATATATAAATCAGTATACTGATTTCTTCAATAACATGTATAAACGTGAGTCTCTTTATAGCCAGAATAAGGTCACAACTATAGATACTAAACTAGGAAAGAATACAATTGTATTTGGCTAATTATTTACAATTTAAATGACTCTAAATATATAAAAGATACGTGATATATCTTAGTCCTTAATACAGGCGCGTATAGGGAGCTGGAGCATAGAATTTTTGAGTGGGAATGTGAAAGTGAAAGAATCAATGTATGTTTTCTTTATGGCCGTGTGTGTAAGAGAGAGAGACATAGATAGGGGGTTGGGTGGTTAAGATGGGAGTTGGGTGGTTAAGGGGCAGTGTGGGTTTTTCTTTTCTTTTTCAAATTAAAAGGCTGTTATAATCTTTTTATGTTTGAAATGAACCAAAGCTACAAAATGTTTCAGTTTTGGACCATCGGTGCAAGTTCAAAAAAATTTGGGATTCTATCTACAGTTTTTTGCAAACCAAGGGACCAAATTTGCAGTTTAGTCTAGTATTATTATAAATGATAAAAAAATAAAATACTATCAAAAAACCAAAATTCAATAATAATATAATATGTATGATGTCATTTTAGTAATTTTACAAGGACAAAACTACAAATTTGGTCCTTATGGTTTGCAAAAAACTTTGGATGGGGTCCCAAAAGTTTCAAACTTGCATGGCAGGTCCAAAATGAAAAGCTTTTTGGTGAATTTGGTCCCAAAATCAGGAATTTTCGGTGAATTTGGTCCATGATGGACTTGAAATGAAGATTTTTCCCTTTTAATACCTTTTTTTTTTATATATATTTTTTATATTTATCTTAATACTTGTTCAATAAAAAAAATTGCCCACCCCTATTGTCCACTTCCCTTCCCTCTTTTTCTAACCTAACCCAGGTACTTATTCATCTTCAAGAAACCCAGATCCATGCTTCACTCTCGATGCCCTATTCCTTCATCAAACATCCATCGACGATCGACGGCCACTGGAGAACATTCTTCCTTATACAACACAAGTTGCGCCGCAATTTTCGTCTCTTCCCTTCCCTCTGTGCCAATATCTTCCTCTCCACCGCCATCGAGCTTCATCTGCGTCATTCTACTATCGAGCATTCTCTGTGTTGTTCTCTTCCCCAATGATGAACATGAATGTTGAAATCATTGTCTAATTCGTGGTGGGTAATATGATTGGATACCAGAAGTTGAAAAAAGGATTGCTTGCCTCCAAGATTAGTAATTTTGGTCTTGATCGCATAAAACAACGAACTCATTTCCAGCACTTTTAATCATCTCCTCACCCTTCCGGTAGAAACCCTCTTCATCATATTACTGTGGATTCTTAGGGTTTTTTCTATCATACCTCTATTGTTTCACACAATCGAAAAATTAGCAGAAAATCCAGAATCTCAAAACAAGAAGGCCACCTCTTCTTATTTAGACTTTCATTTATTGAGTATTTTTCTGTCATACCTGTGTTTTTTCACGAAAATGCGGTGTATGATGACCAATCATCATCAAATAGTAATTTTTGAGGAAGAAAGATTACAATGATATCAAAAACATTAACCATGAGCAGCGATTTCAGTTTGGGATATGTGTTTACATACTTTTTTTTATTATTCTCAGATGCCTTGGAGTTGAACACAAATCACCTTGGAGATCTTGGTTGTGGCAAGGGGCTTTTGCTGAATGCAAATCACGTTGATGAAGAGCCTATCTTGTCAAACTATTATTTTGTTTCAATCTGGGTTTTTTTTATCTTATTTGCAGTTGAAAATGTGAGGAAAACGATAATGAGAGAGAGAGAGAGAGAGTCAAAGAGAGATGAAGAGAGAAAGGGGGTATGATAAAGTGGGGTGGTAAGGTTTCTGTTATTTTCTATCTTTTAATAATTATTTTAAATACTAAAATAAATAAAAAAAATGTAAAAAGAAATAATAAGAACAAAATAGTCCTTTCAATTTTTTCAGTACCAAAATCACATAAAATTCTTGATTTTGGACCATCCATGTAAGTTAGAAACTTTTTGGACCCTATCTAAAGTTTTTTTAATACCATAAGGACTAATTTTGCAGTTTTATCTTTTACAAGTTAAACCAAATTTGACAAACATTTAAAACACAATTTATGTTTATCACGTTTTTTAATAAGATGAATTAATTCAAACAGTTATTAATGGTTGCTTTGTAATTAATCCTAGTTTTTTTGTTAGAGTTAAACTCTTTATAACTTAGTACTAATAGGTTATTAGTCGTTGCTTTGTAATTAATCCTAGAACATGTTTTTCAGTAAATAAAAGCTTAGGCTCTAAGCAATCCATACTCGTCTGCTTTTTTACCTGTGCAGAATTGATTCTTTTTCTGTTTTGTCCCTCTTTTTCTTTGCTCCTGTTTTCCTCTTTTTCTTGGTGAAAAAGGTTCAGGTCTGAAGCAGCCGCTTATTGATTACATTCTATCCAAATTATAGTCCTCAATAGAAAACACCCGGTGTGAAGGTGGAGAGTACAAAGGTTTCAGCAAATACCTAACGCCACAATACAACTTGCGATTTGGGTTGGGAGAGATTTGCCTCAATTGTTGACTTTTGATAATTGTCATTGAAGAAAAAGAGTAACTCGTTATACAAACGCTCATGATCTGCAAGTCCATCTATATTCAATATTGAGGAGCAATAATTAATCCAATTATTTTACCTATTAAAATTTGGAAATAGAAAAATATTTTAGAATTAACCGTATAACTTTAGAAATTAGTTTATAATCGAAGAGCTCTCTAAATACCTACGGTTCCACGACTTGTAATAACTCAAAGGATCTTCTTCATTCTCTTTATCAGTATTATACACAGGACTGATTGCACACTCTCTTACCATTATTCCAACATATGTTCCGTCATCTATTATTGTAACACCAACTTCATCACCATTTTTAATCTCATTGTCCCCAAACATCCAATGACATAACCATACTATATCTTCATCAGTTTCTCCAACAGCATACATACCACCACTATACCTCCACTTGCAATTTGTTGTCACGTTCTCTACTTTTATTCTTATACGACTTGTTATTCCTCTACCTAAAAATGTATGCACAAAGCTTATATTTATTCCCTGTATCATTTTATTCATTGAAGATGATGGCATGGCTATTGATATTGATATTGATGAACCCTTGCTTTTATGAGGTAACCAATCTGGAACTGCTTTCCCAGGAAAACATGTGCTAAATATTCCAAATTCGTAAAACATCTGCAAATAAAACATTACATTATATGAATTTTATGCATATTAGTGTGTGTGTGTGTGTGTTTGTGAGATCAATAGAAGAAGAAAGAGAATACCCGGAGTGGGAGTTTCTTTGCATCACAAGGCTGTTTGTATGAATCCAATATCCGTATCTTGTGATCTTTCACATGTTGTATATTTGTCCACCCCAAGCGACATAATATGATGTCATCAATTTGTGCTACAGCTTGAATTTTCATTATGCCTTGAACTTCGGTCAACGACTCCGACTCCTCGAAAAAAACAAATGGTACCCCCCACATTTCTTGAGGGAATGTTATTTTAATAAGCGATGGACAATCGTCAGCCCACAAATATTGGATTGTAGGTGGAGGGCACAATATCGACTTCAACATCCAACATTCTCCAACATGGAGTTCCTCAAGCCTGCTAAGGCTTCTCACACAATCAGGCAAGGAATCAATTGGATTCTTATTTAGATATAATGTCTTCAACATTGACATGCTACTGAAGTCCTTCGGAAAGGATTCATTAGATAAATTATTGCCTATAAGTGATAAGGTTACTAATGAGGGTACTAAAAATGATTTTGGAGTTTTCGGTAAAAATTCTCCAATAGAAGAGGAAGATGCACATGACTCCATATCCTTCATCCGAATTAGAAATCCACTAGCACCTAAGCAACTGTTTAATGATAAAATTCGAACATTCTTTAACTTGCTAATGCTAATTGGAACATTACTAAGCTTATTGCAGTAGCTCAGGTCAAGAATAACAAGGCTATCGCATCCACCAATTGACTCACACACATAAACCAAGCTTTTACAGTTGTTAAGAAACAACCTCTCAAGTGCAGGTAAACCAGAGAAGCCTTCGACTCTAACAAGCTTGGAATTCCTCAGATTAAGAATCTTCAATGACCCAAGAAGCTGTTGCATTGGATATCCTCTAATCAAGAATATTACAATGAATATATTAATTGACTAATAATTGAAATAAAAGCTTTAATTTCATACCTTTGGCTTCTTCCAAAGCTGTGTCAGATTACTGTGAGACATGTCAAGAGAAACCATATTTTCCATTGGTAAGTCTGAAGGTATGAATTTTAAATGGAATCCATGCATGCACAACCATCTTAAACCTATTGGAAAATTCTTGTAAGATCCGTTGAGTTTTACATAATTGAGTTGGAGCAGCTTTAGCTTATCCATCTTCCTTAATGCATCTGCTCTCAATTCCACCTTTTTGCAATGAGAAGATGAAAGCATTAGGAGAAGCTGAGCCAAAACCAACCAAATTCTTAAAAAGAACTCATAAATCATCTGGATTGGTTGAGCAGCTCTAAAACTCTTGTTCTCATCATCATATTGGAAGTTATGCTTTCTCACACTACTTAATGATCTAGGCAATGTCTCTTGCCTCAATAAATTCATGTCAAGGATAAGACCTTGAATTCTTTGGGTACCCTATCAAAAGAAAATTACATCAAGCATTCATTGTTATGTACACGATAAAGCTAACGATACTCTAAATGACTATGTTGTATTTACCTTGTCATTTTTCAACAAATTGAGGGTCTCCTCATGTTTCCACACAAGACTACGCTTCCATGGCTTATCAGGTGATTCTTTGTGGACTAAGTCTCTCCCCATATCTTGAAGCAACTGATGCATTGTAAACTTATTATCATATGTAATCGTGAGAAGACATCTATCAATGAGCTTGGTGATCCCATAAGATACTTGAAACCCGCATTCCGTTAATATAGTTTCTGTAACTTCTCTTTCTTTTCCAACAAAAAAGCAAGCAATGTGCTTAAAAAGTTCTTTGCAGTCCCCTGATAAAGAATCAAAGCTAATTTGCAGAGCCTTTTGTATATTCTCTTGTACATCGGTTAAATATCCTTTTGCCTCCAACATTTCAAGTACATCACTCCATATGGATGCACCTTCATTAATTAATGAACTACCCAAAACTTTAAGAGCCAATGGATGTCCTCCACAATACTTGGCAACTCGTAGTGCTTTTTTCTCATAACCTTTCTGGGGATCAATGTTTCCAAACGCATGCCAACATAAAAGTCTCATAGATGTAGTGTTAGTTAAGCCAAGAAGTGGAAGCTTTGTATGCTTTGGAGGAAATTTCATACGAAACAATGAACACTTTTCTGTTAGGGACCCATCTTTGGTTGTTACTATAATCTTGCTTCCGGGATGAAAACCTTTTGTTCCAATAAGCACATCCAGTTGCTCAAAGTTATCAACATCATCAAGAACCAGAAGTGTCTTTTTCCTAGATAATGCCTTTTCAACCTTAGATGTGCACCAATCTGCATCATGTTCTTCAATATTTCTTTTCTTGAGAATGTCTCCAAGAAGCTGTTTTTGCAAATCTAGTAACGAACATGTCTGTTGTGCACATATTCTTCCAATGGCTTCAACAAAGCTACTTCTTTCAAATTCATGGAAGTGCAACATATACATATGTTTTGCCAATGTTGTTTTCCCAATCCCTGGCAATCCCCAAATTGTGAGAATTTCAGCAGCTTCAGAAGATCCTCTTTTTAACCAGGAACTGATGGTATAAATAGATTCCCCCATCCCAATTATGTGTGGGATCCTCCTTTTCAAGTGTAGTTCCAGTCTAGTATTAATTTCTTTCACGACTTCTTCAATAACCACCGTCTCTCTTCTGAAAAAGGAATCAAACTCGATCAACTGGACACATTAGCCGATATATCAAATTAAATAAACTGGTCAATAAGACAATAACTAGTCTTTTGCATCCTTTTAATTATTATGAAAGGCACTAAAATAAAAATATAAACAAAGTTTAACCAAAATGGTGGGCCACTTTGTATATGTTTGTAGTCCCCATGGGTTGTTGGATATGTACTGGACTTGGTTCCATTATATGATGTATGTTGGCTTTAGTTCTCCATAAAAAACTGAAGAATTTTTGTGGAAATATAGTATGAATGTTTTACCTTCCGCTTGCCTCTTTTCCTTTCAAATCAGCAATTTCTTTAAGTCCTTTCATCCACATCTCCAACTTATGAGCACCTTCAATTTTCTTCTCTGCATCCTTTTCGGACTTAATCCTCTGTTTGTGTAAAAATAACGCTTCTCCAAAAGTGTTTTCTTGCTTCCTAATATGGTTCGGCTCAACGTTGTAAAATATAGGGAGAACAACATGGTTAGAGACCTTTCGTTGCTCAAGGATCATCACGAGCTCATCCAGACACCATGTTGAAGACGCGTAGTTCTTAGACAAGACGATTATTGAAGCACGCGAGCTTTTTATAGCTCTTGCAAGCTCGGGTTTAAGTTCTTCCCCAGTTTCAACCTCTTCCTCATCAAGAAAGGTAGAGATATTTTCATTCACCAAAGCTTGGTAGAGGTGATCCATAAAACCCAGACGAGTGTCTTTCCCTCTAAAACTCAGGAAAACATCATATGTTATTGCAGCTTCTTGTTCTTCTGGTAATTCAGTGATGATGGCCATGGAAGTACTTGAGAAGAATTAGAAGAGTGTATATAAGTTGTGATTATAAGTTTCGTTGCTTCTGATTTTGGTTGTCTTAGATCTAAATTCGAGATGAATGTCTCTTGTGTGGTACTAGAGTCAATGTTGGCAGCAAAGTCAATGTTTGTTGTCTTCTTTAGCTGGCTTGGTCTCCGGACTTTTTTCTTCTCTTTTAGAAAAAACATCACTAACATAATTACATATGAATTATGATGTTCAACTTTTAGAAAATATTCAATATGGGCTTATTATACAGTTTGCTAAAATTAGCCAGATAAAATCATCACTATGTTTTTCGCTTCTTGATCACCTGTGTATTATATAAAAATATAACAGAAGGGAAAATGGCAACAAAATCATTACATTAATTTTACATTAGATGTAAATCGAATAGATCTAATGCTATAAAATCACGATCCTTACAAAAAAATAACCAATAAAAAACAAGCTTTAAAACAAATATCAATTTTCACATTGTATAAAACCTTCTACCGAAAAATATCCCCCGGATTCTTATTGTGACACCGACAAAAGCCTCTAAAGCACCCCTTACAGCACCGTCGGCCACTCCCCCACGCTACCTTAATCATCTCTCAACACCATCAAAGCAGGTGCATCACACACTACGCCACCATCAAACCCTGGATCTAAAATCGCCAAAAGTAATTAATGTCGCCTTTCACCCTCGAATTACTGTGTTAGTTTTGAATTGGCCGGCTTTCCCTCACCGGCGGCCTTCACCCTAACCAACTCGAGCGGTGATGGTTTTCCTTCCTTACCATCTTTCGTCGCTACTATGATGACCTCTCTACTTTAGGTATATATTTTCACCCAAGATTTTTTTATAATGTACACTTAACCCACTTTTATTTTCTTATGTTTTTTATTTGCTCATGTTTTCTGAATACCAGGATTTGGGTGGCTTGTACTTTGGAAGGGAAGAACTCATCAATAATTATTACAAAATTTTGCTATGTTAGCTGAAGTATTTAGATCTTAGGTTTATTTTCCATATATGTAATTTGCTCATGTTTTCTAATAATATTTACCTTAATATTTAACTATCAAAGTAGTACATTAGATACAAGGAACAATGTATTTGGTAACAAACCAATACTATTTACAATAATAAACACTAATCTTGAACCAGAATAAAAAAAACGTAAACATCATAATACATGAAATCAAAAAATTTGACAACTTATTTGTGTATCTTCATTATCATCTATCCAATTGTTCACCATTACTCTTTAATTGAATGTAGGAGATTGATTTTAAGTTTAATTGGAATGAATGGAAGAAATATAAAAAATGGGATGAATGTGATAGGCAATGTCGATCATTGAGAGAAGAATATAATGCTTTACTTGCATCCCTCTTGAAGTCTTGCTCTTGTCGTTGATCACACAAGAAAATCGATACTAATTAGCCCTAATGGTCGATGTCGATCATAGTAACCCTTCATTCGTTTGATGGCAAACCCAACCTGGATGAATGATCGAAATCCACACTTCGACAACGTCTTTTTTTTAATACCCGTTCAAATTCTGGTTCATGGCCTAATAAACCGGGTCTGGTTCATTTAATTCGGTTTCGATTTTTTTTTTCTAATCCGGTTCTCAAACCCATTGGACCCATACCCGGAATACCCGGAACCGGACAAGGTCAATTTTTAGAACCGAGAACTGGACCGTTTAAGAATTTTCTGATTATACTGGTTCCAGTCCGGTTTTCCGGTTCTATAGCTCATTCCTAATTAACACTAGCATTCTAACTACGTATAATTGGAAATAATTAAGTTAGACATAGAATATGTGAAACTACATGCAAATATTTGTTTTTAAACAAACAAACATATATATATATATATATATATATATATATATATATATATATATATATATATATATATATATATATATATATATATATATATATAGCCGTCTACCCGCGCAAAGCGGCGGACGACGAATAATTTGATCCCTTTAGAGTTAAAACCATTTTGCATTCACTTCGAGAAATGAATATTAAATGACATCTATTTTTCAAGAGCATTACCATACCATATTAAGGGGGTGTTTGGCTAAGCTTTTTTTAAAACAACTTATTAGGTTCTACATCACTATAAGTTAAAAAAGTATTTTGATTAAAATAACTTATTCCGTAGGGAACCTCTAATACGTCATTTTTTCATAAGTTACCCTATATTTACTTATTAACTTATAAACTAGTAAACTAATACGCAATAAGTTTTTTTGCCAAACACCCCCTAAATGGTTATTACTTCCATTTATACATACCCAAACCACTTGTACTGTTTATCGTCCTTTTTTTTTCCATTTTCCTTAATTCCTTTATTAATTTAATGTCCTACTAAGTAAAATGCTAAAATATATAAATAATAGTTTATAAAAATAAACCTTTAGAATATCAGGTGTTGTGATTCGAAAGTCGATAAATAGGCCTTTGAGAAGGCCAAAATACTCAGGTGTCAACTTGTTCATTGTGATTTTAAACCAAGTTTGGTCACAAATTAAAACATTTTCAACGATGGTATGTAATTCAAGGATTCATATTGATTTAGGTTCTCGAAACCTTAAAATATTGAACAAAATCTATATAGAACCTTATAATAAGGACAATAATCACCGTAATCAGGAAGTCCATGTGATGAAACTTGATATTATAAGGACCAATGATGAAAAAGGTTTCATTTTTAGACTAAACAAGATGAAAAATATACAAACTACCTTAATCATGTCAAATCTTGTGTTTAACCGTTCTTTATTGCAAAAGTAAGATGTCAAAATATACAAACTAATGATAATACAACGCTCTAACCGACTCTCTTGGTTGAGTTCTTTGAACCTGCAAAGCCAACACATTAAAGAAACATAGTAAAAACCTTTTTAAGAACAAACCTGATATAATAAAGCCTTCACCCAATATATTTATAACATAAAAATACAAAAAGTTAAAAATGATGAAATCAATTACAAGTAAGGATTAAAATAAAAACCTGTTAAGATAAAGCTATCTGCAGGAGGGATATTTGAATCAACATGTATTTTCTAATGGTTTCAAATTTTGAATTATCCGAAATTCAGGGAATGAGATAGAATTTGTTGAGAAATATAAGGATTCAAAACACATGTTAAAATTTAATATTATTTTATTGATGACTACTTGTACTATTAGCTTAATGATTTGAACGTCTTAAAAAGTAATATTATTATATTCAATCTATTTTTAGAAATAGTGGGATTTCTTTTATAAGATAGCAAATATATATATATATATATATATATATATATATATATATATATATATATATATATATATATATATATATATATATATATATATGGAAAAATGAATATACTCTTAAGGGTATAAACTTTGGCACCTAACCCACCATAATACGTCGTTTTGTATGATATATTGTAATGTTCTTAAACTTCAACCCCTAACTTGATTTACTTTCAATATTTTCGAAATTTCACTATTATTTTTCTTTTAGATCACATATTTTTGTCGGACACCTATTAGGTTATATATATTATAGTTGAAAATGTAAATTATGTAAGAGGAAGATAAATATGAAATTTATAAAAATCTTAAAAGTAAATCAATTTAAAAGTTGAATTACAAGAATATTAGACAATTACAATGTGTGTGTGTATATATATATATATACATATATATATATATATATATAATATATATATATATATATATATATATATATATATATATATAATGTGTAAACATTTTATCCAGTTAATCGTATGAAAAAAAAGATCGTGAATTATGTCATATTTATAAACACATTAAATTATGTTACAAGACTTTATATTTATATGTTATATCTATTAAAACATATATCTAGAAAAAAAAAAAAAAAGAAAGAAAGAAAGAAAGAAAAACGTAAGTATCTTATCGGTAATAATACTAAAAATATGAGAAATAGTCACATATAGTTTTTAGAAACCTATCTAGAAGCTCTATTTAGATTAAGAAGATGTCGAAAGCTGCAAAATAATAATAATAATAATATATAAATAAATAAATAATACAAGCTATATCAAGTTAATAGGTATATAAGCTTAAAAAAAATTATATCAAATTAATAGCCGTAAAGCATATCAAAAGACAAGATGACTAGGAAGTAGGAACTATAGACATTTTCTTTTTAACTTTTGTAGTTATAAATTAAATAACTTCGTTACACTAAAAATATAATTATTTTATTAATTTAGTACCGGCATCAGGTCCCACCTGGCATTGATCCACGTTCGGCATACATATCTGTTTCTTCCCAGGCCCCGCCTGTCACTAGGCCCCGTCTTCTATGCACATACAAACAATATCATATAATCATGCTAGCACATAAGGAATCATACACACTATTATATGTCCAGTCCTAAGGTCTCGCCTCTCATGGGCCCCGCCCCTACTCTGCTAATGAGATATGGAACCCCGTCCACTCTCAACTAGTGATGAGATACGGGCTCTCGCCCACACTCACCTTTCTACGAGGCCCATATAGGTATCACACAGACAACATCTATAACTAAACATTCATAACATCCTCGAGTACCACCCAACATCGAACCGTAGTCCGGCATCAATCTGTAATTTAGAAACATACATCTAAACATTCATCGGGCTTTCCCCGGTATCGGACTGAATTCCGGAAGCATACAAAACAAGCACATGCATGAATCACAAAGACATCAAGCACACTAACATTCATTGGGCACCTCCCATCATCGAACTCTAGTCCGGAACATAAATCCTACATGCATACATACGGGCTGGTATTGGTGCATTAGACCCATTTACACAAAGGGAAACTCACCTCACCCTGCTGAAGTCCCCTAGATAATCCTCAGACTGCTAGCTGGCAATTCCCCGAACTGCTGATCCTTCGACTCTCCCATCTATCAGTACCAAAATAACACTTAGATACGATTCCTTACTCAAGACTCCTTCACGGGTCAACCTTAGTAAATGTCCAGGTCAAGGACAAAGTCAACGGTCAATGTCAACAGTCCATGTTGACCGTCGAGCTCATCCACCGACTCGTCCAGTTCCTTCAGAACTCCGAATACCATGAAAACCCGAGTCAAC